GTCCTTTTCATATTTATGTATAATCTATCTATATATCTCAGTAAGTTTTCATCTATCTATCTATCTATCTATCTATATATATATATATATATATATATATATATATATATATGCTTTTCCTATCTATCCATCAGTCTATCTATCTCAGAAAGTTTCTTTCTTTTTTCTATCTATCTATCTATCTATCTATCTATCTATCTATCTATCTATGCACTCAATAGTATGCAGACGTAAATCGAAGAGGAATCAATTATATAATCATGGTGAAGACGTTCCACACTATTTCTTAATACAAAGTTAGGAAGGAAAAGCCCACCAATACTGGAAAGATCTATAACAACTACTGGACTTGAGAAACCTATTTTCCTGAAAAATTGTATAAATTTCAACAGTAATGCCCGCTTATTAAATGAATGCTGAATGTTTCTTTATGATTTGGTTGATTTTCTTTAGCGGTATATCAACATCTATATGGGTTATTTTATTCAGGAATCTAAATATTCGGAAAAAAAATTTTTTTTCTAAATATATTTTGAACGCAGCTGTACGACTTCAACTACAGATAAAATGAATTGCTCGTTATTTTATTGTAAATGTGTATTGTTGGGGGGGTTGATTTTGTTTAGCGATATAGCAACAACTCTAACGGTTATTTCATGTCAAAATTTAAATAAGTTGAACTACAACTCCAGATAAGATATATATATATATATATATATATATATATATAATCGACTGTCCAGGTCGGTTTCGACGTATGAGGATCTGATAGCTTATTGATTCAGTTATGAAAGTCTGTGCTATAATCTTAAGTGGCATTTATGACCCGCTAGTGATTTACAAAGGAAGCCACATGTGGAGCAAGTGTGAGGATTGTGAGAAGAGATCACTGTTAGATTGGCTGACATTTTAGATCTTGCTCTCGCTTCTTGAAGATGATTCAGACAAGCAGATTGAAAATTGCTGAGTCCACTAAAACACGTTGATCTACATTCTACCCGCTCCAAGACTAAGCGCTCAGGGGTGTTATGTGGTATATTGACTGCTGACAAGTTGCTTTTAAGCTTGGCTTTGTATGTTAGCCATGGGCCTCTTATATTCCAGTAGTCCTGATCTAACTGGCTGTATATTAGGATCTTGGCTATCCTGTCATCAGGCATTCTCAAGACATGACAAGTCCACAGTAACTGAGACTGTATGAGAAAAGTCTCGATTCCTCCAACATTACACCTGTTAAACAGGTCTACGTTAGATGTCCTATCTTGAAAGTTAACTCCACAGATTACACGCAGACAGCTTTTATATGTGGCAGGGGAGAAAAATCGGACGGGATTTCAACGGGCGGGTCAATAAACTATTACAATAGAACATACAGTATTTTCTATCTATCTATCTATCTATCGATCTATCTATATATATATATATATATATATATATATATATATATATATATATATACATAAATATTTACATATATACATATATATTTACATATATACATATATATTTATGTATATATATATAAATATATATATAACTATATATATATATAATTATTTATTTAAAAATATGATTCCAAATCGCTACATAAGAGGTCTCATTTGGTGATTTTGATTTCAACTTTTAAAACAAGTAAATTTCAGATATACGTTATTCCAACAAAAAAAATTCGCTTGAAGATGGAACGGAGCCCTTTTAATTTCAACTCAATTTAATTTAAAGGATTATTTTGAAGTTTTCGGCTCTTGTTTTGAAAAATTAAACCTTTTATTTTAGCGATTTGGAATCATATTTTTAAATAAATAATTATATTTATGCTCTACTTTTGTATCGAGCACTATTTTTTAAAAATAATAACAAAAATACTAAGGAACTTTGGACTATTTACCTAACCAGTTCCTTCCTATTTTCTATATATTTTCACATATAACTATATATATATATATATATATATATATATATATATATCCACATACATATATATATATATATATATATATATACATGATTTTTTTTATTAGTATCCTTTTTATATTATATTCATTTCGTATTTTGCTTTGATAAAGCCCGCATTGAATGAAACGCGTCAGCATTTATTAGTTTTCCTATTGTCATTTTATTCATAAATATTGTTTTCTCTACTGGTTAAATCGAAAAAATTTCATATATATATATATATATATATATAAAATGTGAACATTGAAGTCAACAGTCAGAGGCGACAGCCTGTTTCATCCTGGAAGCACACGAAAGAAAATGCTACTGCTAATATTATCACTTTCATAACTGATTCAGCAAATCTGACAGATCATCATACGTCGAAACGGATAGGCGAGTCAATTATAATATATATATATATATATATATATATATATATATATATATATATATATATATACTACATTAGCTTTGATTCTTCTATCTGTGGATATTTAACGTCTAATGAAATAACTTTTTACTTCAAACACCTTCTTATAATAAGTCTTCTGGTAATAATTATTTACAAACATGTTTTGCTGATATTAAAACCTATTTTTAAACTTTCATAATGTTTTGCCAACAGCTTGGGGGCTTAACTATTGGAACCCTAACAATCGATTATATTTGATATACACACACACACACACACACACACACACATATATATATATATATATATATATATAGTGATCTGGAAGGAGAAAAGACAAGGTTTTTTAAAGACTGCGGATGGCTGTGAGGCAGGAAATATGAAGGGAGTTCTTACGCAAAAAGTGCCAGAAAATATACTATTAGAATAGGACATACGGTTGCATATGTCTACCAAAGTTCAAAAATATATATATATATATATATATATATATATATATATATATATATATATATATATATTGAGTCTGATTAGGAATCTCTTCATTACCGAGGCCCATTTGGTACATTTGGTATGTTGTTCGCTTGACAACCCAACTGTCAGGGTTTTGATACTTGGTGGTGGATGCGCACTGCTGATGAGTCCCAATTATAGGACGAAACGGCCGTCCAGTGCTTCCTCTATTTCCTGTTGAGGTTTCTATCAGACTCAATGAATCAATTAAATATATATAAAGACAGTCTTATGTCGATACGTTATTTTTATAGATACAAATATTTAAGTAAAAGCTCTGTTTATAATAAAAAGTATTAGGAACTTTTACTGGTTTGAATACCCGAGAAGTTTTCATAGAAAATAAGCGTCCTTCGACAGGAATCGAACCTGTATCCTATACTGAACCGTCATATAGCCTGACGTGCTTTACCGATTTAGTAACAGAGGAACGTTTCGATTAGCAAAATCGATTTTACTGGTTTTAAACTACAATTCTCCATGTTTTTCTCTCGTAAATTCATATCTGCTCGATGCGTATCCACATGTAAACATATGACGTCACACATTATGAAAGTCCGGCAATTATTTTAAGACATTTTTTTTTATGCTTATACGTTCTTTTTATAGATACAAATATTTAAGTAAATGCTCTGTTTATAATAAACAGATTTACCAACATTTACCGGCCTGAATATCAGAGAAATCTTCATAGAAAATATGCGTCCTTAAATATTTCTATCAATAAAAAGAACTTATAAACATAAAAAATGTTTTAAAATAATTGTCGGACTTGAAAATGAACGTCTCTATCTTAAAGCCAGATTTATAAAAGAGAAAAGACAGTGAATGAAAATATCATTGTCTAAATAGACAATGAAATTTTCACTCACTGTCTTTTCTTCAGCTTAGTGTGCTTCCTCTAGCGACGTTTTTTTTTTAGAAAAGCCAAACGGGATAACCCACAACGGAGAATAAAAAAGAAGATTCCAGAAAAGACTGTTGCATTTTGAATGTTTGAAGTATGTAGGTGACACGGAAACAAGTCTAAAGGTCATGAATATGGCAATGAAGATGAGGACAACAAACGAACAACGAAAGTAGTTTTAATAATTACAATGCCTCATCTGAGAAATATGGACATATATAGAAGAAGGTCGGAGCCTACATCGGTCTAATCGTCGTGAATATGGCAACGAAGATGAGGACAACAGTCCAAACAATGTAAATAGTGTAAATAATTACAATACCTCATCTCAGATATATAGGCAGATATAGAAGAAGGCCGGAGCGTACAACGGTCTAAACGTCGTGAATATGGCAACGAAGATAAGGACAACACTCTGAACAATGTAAATAGTGTAAATAATTACAAGACCTCATCTCAGAAATATAGACAGATATAGAAGAAGGCCGGAGCGTACATTGGTCTAAATGTCGTCAATATGGCAACGAAGATGAGGACAACAGTCCGAACAATGTAAATAGTGTAAATAATTACAATACCTCATCTCAGAAATATAGACAGATATAGAAGAAGGCCGGAGCGTACAACGGTCTAAACGTCGTGAATATGGCAACAACGATGAGGACAACAGTCCGAACAATGTAAATAGGGTAAATAACTTTCACTTTATCTTTTAGATTTAAAACGCCATTTTCTTTTTTAGCATTTTTCGTTTGATATCGCTACATTCGCGTTCGCCTAAAGGCATCTTTTTTATTGGCCGGTTCCTTAATCAAACGCCTTTGCTCGATGACAATTATTAATTAAAGAACTCAATCTGATTAATGACTCTTGCTCTCCACATGGGGCGGTTGTTCTTTCTTTTCTCTGATGACAAATTAAATTAAGGGTTTTTACGTTGACGTCGTGTCGTTGGTATGACAGTTACCACCTTGCCTATCAAAAATATATAAACAGAAATTATTCATTTAGCAAGCTAAAATGGGCATGCAGCGGAGAAAAATCTAGAAGATTCGATAGGCGCCCTATCTTGTTTTTCTATGGAGGTGGTTGATTTGTCTTGTTGCGTATTGAATTGCGTTTAAAATCAAATCTATGACTTTGAACGAAGGAAGGACAGGTTTCCCCTTATAATAGAAAATTTCGAAGTAAAGCTACCATATAACCATGCCTAGTTTGTCTTGAAATTTA